TTTTATCCAAAAATGACGAGAAAAAAATTGATTTTTAAATTGAAAAAAAAAAAAAAATTTTTTTTTTTTTCGTCTGTCGCATAAAATAATTTTTATTCGTTGATGAATTTTTTTTTTTAATGAAAAATTATTTAAACATTGAAATACGGAAATAGATTTATAAAACTAAAAATGGAAAACGAAATAGAAATTTAATCATTTGACTTTTATTAAATGTTATAAAATAATTATATATAAATTTAAATATATGTGACAAATAGATTGAAAATGAAAACAAAAATATTTTTTTTTTATATTCTAAAACCGGAAAAGAATTCAAAATATCGATAATCGAAAAATTTGATAAATGATCGAGTTTAACAAAAAAAAAAAAAAGTTGGGGCCCCGTTTAAAACGAAAAAAAACAAACAAAACGTTAAGTTTTTTTTTGATAGCTTTTGACAAAAAAAAGGATTGCCAACCTTAAAATTCGTTTTTTTTTTTTTTTTTTTTTTTTTTTAAAAAAACTCGTAAAAGGTAATTAAAAACAAATAAATAAAATCGATAATTTTTTTTTAAAAAAAGATCGATCAAGGATGTGAATGTGAATGAAAAAAAGAACAGCAGACGACATTTTTTTTTTTTTTTTATTATTTCAACCCTTTTTTTTTTTCCGTTTCAATTTTGTATTGATGACCGTCTGAAAGTGATTTTCTTTCGATTGTTGACTCATCAAGAGAAAATTTTCTTTTTCGTTTTTTGAAAAAAAAAAAAAAAAGATAAAATGCTATTGAATTCGTTTTTGTTTGTGTTAGAGGGGGAGAGGAAGGAAGGTAGGAGAAAGGGAGGGAGGGAGAAGGAAGATGATGATGGTGGAAAAAATTTTCTCTTTCAAAAACTAATTTTTCATTTTCTTTTTGACTTCAATAAATCTTTTACGGGAAAATCTCATTTATTTTCACCCAAAAATTTCTTATTTAACATATAAATCAATTTTGACTCAATCAAGATTTTCTCATTTTCATTTTCAAAAGAAAAATAACATCTTATTAAGAAAAAAAAAAAAAAATAGTAAAACGCTTTCGTAAAATCATCGTTTAAAACGCGCGTAATTATCACAGTAAGATTAAACGATTAAATATTAATTTTTCCTATTGAAAAATTAAAAAAAAAAAATTTTTTTTAAATTTTATTTTAACTTTATATTAATTTGATTTGACGCGAAATAAAATTTATATATATAAAAGTTTCCGATAAGTTTAATTTGTTAAATTTCTCTCACTGGAGAGAAAATTTGGGTTTGAAATTTTTTTTTTTTTTTTTTGTTTTCGACCAAACGTTTTATTGGATTTGAAAACAATGGCCGAGGTGACGTAGAAAAGTTTTTTTTGTTTTTTTTTTTTTTTAATTTAATCTTTTTGAATTATTTGGGTATGTTTATGGTAAAATTCAATTATCGTTTTTTTTTTTTTTTATAATTTTGTTTGCTTTTCTAATTTATAAAAGTTTTATAAAAAAATTTTTTATCTTTGAATTTCGTTATTTTAATCGTATAACTGAATAACTTAATTATAAACCTAAACGTAAACGATAGCATCATAATAAAAATAAATTTATTTTCGGGTATCTTCGGTATTATTCGCGCGCGTTTTTAAATATTGTTCGAGTATTTTCGGATATTGTTCGGATGACTTCGAGTACTGCAGGAGGTATTTTCGGATATTGTTCGGATAACTTCGGGTACTGTAGGAGGTATTTTTGGACATTGTTCGGATGACTTCGGGTAAAGTTCGCGTATTTCGAATTAGGAATTATTATTTATAATTATTATTTGATTTTAATTGACGTCATCGAAACATTTCAAATTGAAAAAATTTTATTATTATTATTATTTTTTTTATCAGTGAATTTTTTATTCACTGATTACATTCAAGAAATAATTAATTTAATAAAAAATTTTTTTTTAAACAAATCAATTTATTTAATTTAAAAATTAATAAATTTAAATTATATTAATTTATGTAAACTAAAAAAAAAAAAAAAAAAATTAAAAGAAATTTTTTTTTATGGAAATTAATGCAGTTCAAATTTGACAGACTTTTCTCTCTCTCTCTCTCTCTCTCTTTTTTTTGTATAACTAACGTACTTTTCCGGTTAAAAAAAAAAGAAAAGTTTTTAATCATGTTATTTTTAACTTTGTTAAAAGTTACCGTTAAATTAAATTGATAGATGACTTTAACGTTCAACATTTTGCGACGTAATTTCTTTCTTTTTTTTTTTTTAATTTTCCTCGCGACAAATTTTAAAATCTTATTTTTTTCTTTTTCTTATCGAGGCTTAAATCCACGCACGCACGCACACACGCACACACTCACGCATTTTTATTTTCGTTAAAAATTTTTTACTGAATATTATATAAATAAATACTAGCTAAAAATAATTTATTTTAAAATTTTTTCTAACGGAAAAGGAAAAAAAAAATTCGACCAATCAAAATTAATTAATTTTTAAATATCTATTTTCCGATTGGTCAATAAATAAATGTTAATTTATAAAAAATATGAAAGAGTCGTTTCAATTAATG